AAGAGCGAAACTCCGTCTCAAAAAAAAAAAAAAAAAAAGAAGCACAAGAGTTTTGACAGATGCACTGCATTTTCAAAGTAGTGGAAAATTTGAATAGTAGAGAAGTTTGGAAAAATGTCTAGATTTGATACTTTAGCTATGACATATGGGAAGTTGTTTGAGACATGATACTTAAGCCACAGTTGTTCGCCCCTGGAGAAATCAGAGTGTTAAAAAAGATATTAAAATCATTGGTTTGTTAAGAAATTATAAGACTCTGAACTATCCTAAAAGTAATCTTCATAAAATGAACAATAATCCCAGGTTATCTGGGATTTTCTGTAGTTTATCTAAATTAAAGGAGTAAATGGAAAAGAAAAAGATTTTATTTATCAAATAAATTTTTCAAAAAATAGAAATGAAGATAATAGGAACAAAGTGCATACACACACACATTTTTTTTTTTTCTTTTTTTTGAGACAGACTTGCTCTGTCTCCCAGGCCAGAGTGCAGTGGTATAATCTTGGCTCACTGCAGCCTCCACCTCTTGGGCTCAAGTAATCCTCCCACCTCAGCCTCTAGGGACTATAGGCACATACCACCATGCCTGGCTAATTTTTTTGTAGAGATGGGATTTCACTATGTTGCACAGGCTCGTCTTGAACTCCTGAGCTCAAGCAATCCGCCCACTTGGGCCTCCCAAAGTGCTGGGATTATAGGTGTCAGCCACCACGCCCAGCCTCCTTTAATTCTTTGAACATATTTATAATAGCTGCTTTTTAAGTCTTTGGTAAATATATTATCTCTGTCAATTTCTTACTATACCTTTTTCTTGATTAAGAGCCATGCTTTTCTACTTCTTTACATGTCTAGTAATTTCTAGTGGAAAACTTGATATTTCAGGTAATATATTGTAGCAACTATGTATTCTGATTTTTTGGAGAGTTGTTGGATTTGGTTTAGTGTTGGCTATGGAAACACTGATGTCTCTGCTTCATTTTTTTATTCTTATATTATTATTATTGTTATTAAACCTGGTTTCCAAGGAGTTGCCCCTGTGTCTGCATATAATTTAGTGGTCAGGGCCAAGCGGGGTGGCTCACGCCTATAATCCCAGCACTTTGGGAGTCTGAGATGGGTGGATTACCTGATGTCAGGAGTTCGAGACCAGCCTGTCCAGCATAGTGAAACCCTGTATCTACTAAAAATACAAAAAAAAACTAGCCAGGTGTGGTGGCGGGCACCTGTAATCCCAGCTATTCAGGAGGCTGAGGCAGGAGAATCACTTGAACCCAGGAGGCAGAGGTTGCAGTGAGCTGAGATCATGCCACTGCACTCCATCCTGGGTGACAGAGCGAGACTCCTATCTCAGATGATAATAATAATAATAATTTAGTGGTCACCTAATGATTTGAACAGAGGTTATGCTCAAACATCTTGATTGGGAAAAGCCTCACATTGATTTGTATGTAAATTGGGGAATGTATGTACAAAGTTGCTGTTAATTTTCAAGTCATCCTTAGCTTTTACTTTTTGCTAGACTATTGGATCTTCTCTGTCCATTTGCATAGTAACCCAGTTAGCCATGGATGGTAGAGAACTTATTTCCACCCTTTTATGGCTTTCGAGTTTCCAGGATCTGCCTGTTAAATTTCTGGCTCTCTGCCAATCATCTCAGCCAGGTCCATACCTTGGGCTTACAAAGCTGTGGATTTTTCCTGTTCTTTCCTAATTGAATTCACCACTCAGAGTAGTTTTTACCTACTGGTTAACACTGAGTGTGTTCCCTCTGGCAACAACACTGCTGGTTTTTGTGACCAACCTTGAACTAATAAAACCATTCTCACCAACCAAGTTGATCGTAGTGGTGGGTGTGTGAATAACCTCGTGCAAAAAGGCCACTGACTCCCCTTACCCTAATCTGAAGCTCAAGCACTTTTTCAGCAGTAAACATTTCTTGTTTTCTGCATTTGATCCATTTCCAGTACTCTGGAATGGTTGTTTTTGACAATCTCGTTCAGGTTTGTACTTGTTTTTTTATGGAGAGGAATTACTAACCTCTTAATACCATCACAACTACAAGTCCTTTTCTGTGTTAACATTTGTTTATTCAACTTTATTTTCCACATCTTCTGTATCCATATTTACTTTTCCCTTTCTGTCAGAAACTGAGAAAGATTTTAGTCCTCTACAATTGTGTTATCAATTGATCCTTTTTTTTAAACAGTTTTGCATTGTGTATTTCTGTGTTTTATTAAAATGTTGTGTATTATATTTTTTGGTTAGTATAAAATGTATTACTTTGCCCAGTTTAAAGCCATAAATGCTGTTCTTATATTTTTCACTCATGCTGAATGTTTGGATTTATCTGATGTTATTTTAGGCTGGACTTAAGTAATAGTGACACAGAGTTCATCTATGTCATCAGTTCCAAGACTACTAGTTTTGGTGATTCACTAGAAAGATTCAGAGTACTCAGCACATGTACTCATGACTAAGATTTGTTACAGTGAAGGATACAAAACAAAATTGGCAAAAGAATAAGGTGGCTGGGGCAAAGTCCAGAGGAAACCAGGTGCAAGTTTTCAAAAGTCCTCTCCCAATAGAGTCATGGAAGACTTGTTTAATTCCCCCAGAAGCAAGTTGTCACAATGCTTATAAGTTTTGTCTAACAGGGAAGCTCATTAGAGACTTGATGACCAGTTTCTACGGGGGGCTAAGTATTTAGGCATCTTTTGCCTAGTATATACTAAAATCCCAGTCTTTCAGAGGGAAAGCAGGTGTCCGGCATTAACCACATTGTTTGCACAATGTATACACAGTAAACCACCATTATTAATTAGGGAACAGTAGGAACATTTCTGAAAGCCAAGTTCCCAGATACCAGACAAGGGCCAGCCTTGCAAGGAGGTTTATTTAAGTATAGCTTAGTCTCAGGCTTGCTGTATTAAATTCTTTAATTCTTTTCTATACAACATCTTTGTCTTTTTTTTTTTTTTTTTTTTTTTTTTTTTTATTTTTTTTTTTTTTTTTTTTTTTTTTTTTTTTTTTTTTTTTTTTTTTTTTTTTTTTAATTGAACTACTTCTGGTATTTCACTCATGAGTATAATGACCTAACTTCTTTTGTTGGCTTTTTTGCAATTAGGGGTTTGAACCCCAAATGATGTAAAAATATTTTTCTCTTAATTTGGAAGTAATGTAATTTTATTCATATATGAAATTAGGGATCATCATTTATAGTTTTGTTTTTTGTTTCAAAAAAATCTTTCTGTCGTTTCTCTAAGCCAAAAATAAAGTGTGTGCTTGTTTTGAAACTCTAATAGACAAAATACTGTATATGATTTAAATTACATGCTTCGAAGTTTTATATTTGACTATTCTTTGTATCTCCCACACATCATAATGCCTTTTTTCTTTTCTCAGCACGATTACGTGGTGTTCATGATGGTTTGTTCACTGGACAGATAGATGCTGTGGATACTCTTAATGCTACTTATAGAGTAACTTTTGATAGGACAGGGCTTGGTACCCATACCATCCCTGATTATGAAGTTCTTGTAAGTAGTATTTCATAATACATTTGTGTTTTATGCCTGTTAAATGTGTTATGTAGAGTTTTTTTTTAGAAATCGTATTTTATGATAGAATTGACTTTAGCTCACAGAGGAAGAGATCCTTAGCGGTCCCCAGCCCTATCTGCTAGACCCCTAGTTCAGAAATATACTTAAGTCTTCTGTTTTCTAGGAACTGGCATTCCTCTGTTGGACCTTAATGATATAGCACTTTAGTATAACCAAACTGATGAGTCCTGATGAAATAACCTTGGAGAAGAAGCTACATAACATTTTCATTGCAGCTGTTAGGTTAATGTGTAGTCCTCTTGTAAAATTATTTTTAAAGTATGAAGTAACATCATGTACTTATTTGTTCTCCTGTTTTATCTTCAGAGGTATGCAGGATGGGTGTTAATTACCTTCACTTTTTGCATGGTGAAACTCAGACATCTCAGACATAAAGTACAATTGTGTAGTTTATTCAAGGCTCTGTATTTGGTTTCCTGTTAGGCTGAAACTAGAATCAACAGTCTTGCTCTGTTGCCCAGGCTAGCATGCAGTGATGTGATCTTGGCTCACTGCAACCTCTGCCTAGAACATGTATATATATATATCTCCTAAGTACAGAAATACAATATTGCTTGATATCTCTCCACAATAGGAGAGAAAAAAAATTGGAACTAAATATAGAGCAAAGTACACTGTTCTTAAGTTTTTACATTAAAGGGTGAAATCTTTAAACTCTCTTTTTAAAAAAAGTAAATTGGCCAGGTGCAGTAGTTCACGCTTGTGATCCCAGCACTTTCGGAGGCTGAGGCTGGTGGATCATCTGAGGTCAGGAGTTCAAGACCAGCCTGGCTAACATGGTAAAACCCTGTTTCTAGTAAAAATACAAAAAATTAGCTGGGTGTGGTGGTGCGCACCTGTAATCCCAGCTACTCAGGAGGCTGAGGCAGGAGAATTGCTTGAACCTAGGAGGTGGAGGTTGCATTGAGCCGAGATTGTGCCATTGCACTCTAGCTTGGGCAACAAGAATGAAACTCCATCTCAAAAAAACAAACAAAAAAACAGGTAAACTGCTTCTCTGTTTAATTAATTTAACTATTTTTATGAGATCACCCAAATATTTCTCTCTGACTAAATAAGAGTTAATTTTAATTATTGTAGGATATATTCAGGCAGCCTAAATGAAGATAACCAAGGGTGGCCAAAAAACACTTTAATATTAACCTTTGATTCTCTAAACTATTTTGACCCTTTTTTTAAAATTTCTTTTTTTTTTTTGTAGGTTCGTTCTTTTGGTAGCAAAGTAGCGTTTTCGCATTCTGTTTTATATTCTAGCCTTTGATCTGTATAGACTAATATGCTACTCTATAAATAATATATAAGTAATACATTCTAAATGAATCATAGAATATGCGTGAGTGTATATCTCAAGCTGAAGTACAGTGATTATAAAGCATAAATGATTGGTAAATTTCAAATTTTGTGGATTATTCTGTTTTCTCAGAGTAATGAGCCTCATGAGACAATGCCAATTGCTGCCTTTGGACAAAAACAGCGGCCTTCTCGATTTTTTATGACCCCACCACGTTTACATTATACTCCTCCTCTCCAGTCACCAATTACAGTAAGCATATTTTAGAAATACCATCAATAATTTGATTGATTATTATGAAGGTGAACTTTGTTCTCAAGAAATACACATCTGTTACAACAACTTCAAAAGGTATGCACACTATTTTGAGTTGAAAATGTTAAATAAAATAAATACTTGCTTCAACTCCAGAAATATTTTCCTTTTCATTGGATTTTATAACAGAATTTTCTCTTTTTCTGAAAATAAGATACCTCCTCTGAATAGTCAATGATTAAATGATTCTCTTTTATTCCCATAGGATAATGATCCTTTATTAGGACAGTCACCATGGAGAAGTAAAATTTCTGGCTCTGACACTGAAACGTTAGGTGGTTTTCCAGTAGAATTTCTTATACAAGTGGTAAGAATTGTTTTGAATATCTTGGCAGTTTGTCTAAAAACTCAATGTTTTCTGTGTTATTAAAGTTGAAAATTTTTCTAGGACCACATATTTATCACCGTGTAGGTTTTAAGAACTGCTATTTCCAACAAAACCTGAAAATAAAAGTTATAAAAACCAAGAAAGAGTTACAGATCTTTCTTCTTGAGCTTTGTCTTGTGTCTGAGTTCTTATTATTCTGCTATTTTAAGGGCTCAAACGTTCTAGCATATGTTCTGTGAAATTCTGAATGTTTGGCTGTTAATAACTTGGGTAACTATGAAGGGTTTTATTTAGTAACCTCAGCATATTCTGCCATCATCATTCAATTCAATAGTTACGATGCCCTGGCTAGCTTACATGGTTAGAAGAAATTTTATTTCTTTTCAGAGTCTAGAAACAGGTATTCACTTGCTAAGTACTAAGAAATCTAAGCCTAAACCCAAATAAGTGGAGAAGTATTATATTGGAAAGTTTTCTTAATAGTCAGACTCTTAAAAATGTAATGAGTTTGAAAATTAGATTAAATAAATTTTTTAGTTTGAATCATAGCCTACTAACGTATTGTTTCATTTCTTTTCCTTTTTGGAAAATAAAAACTACTTTGGCTTGGAATAGATATGATCTTTATTTTTATTTATTTATTTATTTATTTTGAGACTGAGTCTCGTTCTATCGCTCAGGCTGGAGTGCTGGAGTGCAGTGGTGTGATCTTGGCTCACTGTAACCTCCACCTCCTGGGCTCAAGCTTTTCTCCTACCTCAGCCTCCCGAGTAGGTGGGATTATAGGTACGCACCACCATGCCCGGCTAATTTTTTTTTTTTTTTTTCTAATAGAGATGGGGTTTCACCATATTGGCCAAGCTGATCTTCAACTCCTAACCTCAAATGATTCCCCAACCTTGGCCTCCCAAAGTACTGGGATTACAGGCATGAGCCACCACTCCCAGCCGATATGATTTTTATGAATAAAACTGTTTACAATAGGCCAGGTGTACCTGTAATACCAGCACTTTGGGAAGCCGAGGCACATGGATCACCTGAGGTAGGGTGTTCAAGACCAGCCTGGCCAACATGGCAAAACTCTGTCTTTACTAAAAGTACAAAAATTAGCTAGGTGTGGCGGCTCATGCCTGTAGTCCCAGTACTTTGGGAGACTGAGGAGGGTCCCATTGCTTGAGCCAAGGAGTTCAAGACCAGACTGGGCTACAGTGACACCCCATGTCTATACAAAAAGATAAGATTAGCAGGTGTGGTGGCTTGTGCCTGTAGTCCCAGTTACTTGGGAGGCTGAGGTGAGAGGATTGCTTAAGCCCAGGACATTGAGGCTGTAGTGAGTCAAGATCATGCCACTGCACTCCAGCCTAGGTTACAGAGGAAGACCCTGTTCTCAGAAACAAAACAAAACACAACAAAAAGGGCTAGGCTCGGTGGCTAACACCTGTAATCCCAACACTTTTGGGAGGTTGAGGCAGGCAGATTGCTTGCAGTTGAGTTCCAGACCAGCCTGGCCAACATGGTGAAACCCTGTCTCTACTGAAAATACAAATATTAGCCAGTTGTGGTGGACTGTGCATGTAATCCTAGCTACTTGGGAGGCTGAGGTACAAGAATTGCTTGAACCCAAGAGGCAGAGGTTGCCTGGGTGACAGAGCAAGACTCCAACTCAAAAACTTTAAAAAAAAAAAAAAAAAAAGGGAGGCCGAGGCAGGTGGATCACGAGGTCAAGAGATTGAAACCATCTTGGGCAACATGATGAAACCCTGACTCTACTAAAAATACAAAAATTAGCCAGAACTGGTGGTGGGCACCTGTAATCCCAGCACTCAGGAGGCTGAGGCAGGAGAATTGCTTGAACCCTGAGGTGGAGGTTGCAGTGAGCTGTGATCTCCCTGTGGGCAACAAGAGCAAAACTAACTCTCTCTCTCTCTCTCTTTCTCTCTCTCTCTCTCTCTGTGTATGTGTGTGCGTGTGTGTGTCTGTCTGTCTCTCTCTCTCTCTCCATATATATATATATATATATATATATATATATATATAAAACATAATCCATGAAAATATTCATAGTGTTTACCTTTTGCAGTTGATGTTATTTTGAAGAAAAGCCTTGTCAGTTGTGTGTGTGTATGTGTATGGTATTCTGTGTTCCTCAATCACATTTTTTAAATTCATTTTTAAATTTTTATTTATTTATTTATATGAGACAGAGTCTTGTTCTGTCTCCCAGGCTGGAGTGCAGTGGCATGATCTCAGCTCACTGCAACCTCTACCTCCTGGGTTCCAGTGATTCTTCCATCTCAGCCTCCCAAGTAGCTGGGATTATAGGCATAGCCACCACGCCCAGCTAATTTTTTTATTTTTAGTAGAGATGGAGTTTCACAATGTTGGCCAGGCTGGTCTCGAACTCCTGACCTCAAGTGATCTGCCCTTCTCAGCCTCCCAAAGTGCTAGGATTACAGGTGTGAGCCACTGCACCTGGCCTATTTATTTATTTTTTTAAGACAAGTTCTCGCCCTATTGTTCAGGCTAGGGGATAGTGGTTCCATCATGGCTCACTGCAGCCTTAACCTCCCGGGCTCGGACAGTCTTCCCACCTCAGCCTCGCAGGTAGCTGAGACCCCAGGCATGTACCACGACTCCCAGCTAATATGTTTTTTATTAGTTTTGTAGAGGTGGGGTCCCACTGTGTTACCTAGGGTAGCCTTGAACTCCAGGGCTTGGTCCTCAAAAGTGCTGAGAATACAGGCTTAGGCCACCATGCCTAGCTAATGATATGTTGTTAGTTATCTTTGCAATATAAAATGTCTTATAGCTTTGGCTTCTCAAGGCAGATGGATGTTTTTATATGAAAGATTGAAAATGTGATGAAAGCCAAGACTTATTCTTTCCACAAAGATACTTGTTTTTAATTCTTTCTTTTAAATAGTGGAACTATAAACAAAGCTAGTATGTTATATTTGAACAGGTGTTGTGTGTGTGTTTGAGAGAGTTTGAGAGAGAGAGAGGTCTGTAACAGAGGGATCCAAAAGCTAAGTACTACTACACTGTGTCTAAAGTAGTGGTATTTTTATTGACTTTTGTTATATTTGATTTTTAATTCAAAACACTTTATTTTTTAGAGCAGTTTTAGGTTCATAGCAAAATTGAAAAGAATATACAGATATATCCCATATACTTCTTGACCCCACACATGTGTAGTCTGCCACCATTATCTCCCCCACCAGAGTGGTATATTTGTTAACAGTCAATGAACCTTCATTAACACATCATTTCACCTAAAGACCATAGTTCACATTAATGTATTTAAAGATGTGGAACATTTTAAGATTTTGGACAAATGTGTAATGACATGTATCCACCATTATGTATCATAGAGTTGTTTTTGCTGCCCTAAAAATCTTCTGTGTTTCACCTTTTATCCCTTTCCCTGAGCCCTGGAAGTCACTGATGTTTGTCTTTTGCAGACTGTCATATATTTGAAGTCATATGGTATATAGCCTTTTCATATTGGTTTCTTTCACTTACTAATACACATTTAGGTTTCTTTCATGTCTTGATAGTTCATTCCTTTTTAGGATTGAGTAATATTACATTGTTGGGATGTACCACAGTTTATTTTCTCATTGACAAACTGAATGACATCTTGGTTGTGTTCAAAATTTGGCAATTAAGAATAAAACTGCCATAAATATCTGTGTGCAGGTTTTTGTATAGACGTAAGTTTTCATGTCCTTTGTGTAAATACCAAGGAGTGTAATTGCTGGATCATATGCTGAGAGTATGCTTAGTTATGTAAGAAACTGACAAGCTGTGTTCTAAAGTGGTGGTACCATTTTGCATTCCCAGCAGCAGTGAATGGGATTTCCTGTTGTTCCACATCCTCGTCAGCATTTGGTGTTGTCAGTGTTCTGGATTTTGGCCATTCTAATAGGTTCATTGTGGTATCTCATTATTTAAATTTGCATTTCCCTGATGACATATGCATTTCCTCATTGAGCATCTTTCCATATGCTTATCTGCCATCTGTATATCTTCTTTGGTGAGGTGTCTGTTAAGGTGTTTGGCTCATTTTTTAATCCAATTGTTTTCTTATTGTTGGGTTTTAAGAGTTCTTTGTATATATTGGAAAGCAGTTCCTTATCAGATGTATATTTTACAAATATTTTCTTCCAGTCTGTGGCTTGTCTTTTCATTCTCTTTATAATGTCTTTGACCAAGCAGAAGTTTTTTGTTTTAATGAAGTTCAGCTCATCAATTCATTCTTTCATGGATCATGCCTTTGGTGTCATATCTAAAATGTTGTCACAAAACCAAAGTCATCTAGATTTTTTTTCCTGTGTTACTTTCTAGAGGTTTGTTTGTTTGTTTTTGAGATGGAGTTTCACTCTTGTTGCCCAGGCTGGAGTGCAGTGGCACCATCTCAACTCACTGCAACCTCTACCTCTGGGGTTCAAGCGATTCTCTTGCCTTGCCTCCCAAGTAGCTGGAATTACAGGCATGTGCCACCACACCTGGCTAATTTTGTATTTTTAGTAGAGATGGGATTTCTCCATGTTGATCAAGTTGGTCTCGAACTCTTGACCTCAGGTGATCTGCCTGCCTGGGCCTCCCAAAGTGCCGGGATTACAGGCGTGAGCCACTGGGCCGGCCACTTTCTAGTTTTACAGTTTTGGATTTTACATCTGTGTTTGTGATTCCCTTTGTGAAAGATGTAAGGATTTTGCCTAGATTCATTTTTTTTTTGTATGTGGATGTCCATTTGTTGCCAGCACCATTTGTTGAAAAGACTGACTTTTCTCCACTGTTGCCAATTTGTTGGGCAACTGCTTTTGCTCATTTATTGAAGATCAGTTGACTGTTTATGTGGATTTATTTCTGGGCTCTCTATTCTGTTCCATTGATCTAGTTATTTTGTTTTTTGCCACTACCACACTGTCTTCATTACTGTAGCTTTATAGTATCTTTCAAAGTTGAGTAGTGTC